CCTCTGGTGCAAATTACTGACCTCTGTCATCATTTTAAGTGGGGGAACTTGCACAATCGGTGGCTGACTAAATACTTTTTTGCCCCACTGTAGATGCAAAGGTCAGTTTTTAACAGTTTATTTATTGATTTATTTGATAAAAATGGCACGTTTGGTTCGTCCCAGTGTGAACTCCAAGTCTCCAGGTCCTAAAAGCAGCATCTGACTTCAGAGTATGTCAGCATCATCTGAAATCAGGCATAGTGTTAGTTCAGCTATGACATGGAGATCCATCCCTGCAGATCTCAGAGTCAGCCAGCATCAGTACTGTTCACCTGGGAAACGTGTGCTACGATCAAAGCTGCTTCTAACCCTGCTCCCCCTCAGAGGTCCTGACTGAACATGATTGGTTTCTCCAGTTAACCAGCATTTCCATTCACACATAAAACTGTGTTAAACGTGGTGTGGATTTTGCAGTGAGTCTGAGGTGAAACAGTACCGTGGAGGACATTGCTTTCCAATGCAGAACTCTTGTGTGGGCTCCGGTCGGGTCAGAGAGTCACAATAACGGTCGTCAACTTCAGTGCCATCATACCGGACGCACAGGGCATATGTGCTGGTGATACCTGGGAACACAGTACATCTCAGAACTTCTCTCCTCTGAGCACTTTTACAACTTGCCTCGTGCACCCATTCATTTATGATTTTTCTATGGTTCTTCTGTGTAAGTGCTAATTATCTAATATTCACACACATTCATGCAAGACCCTGCTCCACCTGCTGAGCTACAGCCACCCCACCACACAGTGCTCACAGAGATGAACATCCTCCATGTCCTGGTCAAAAATGACTCCAAGGTTCCTCACAGTGTTACTGGAGGCCAAGGTAATGCCATCCAGAGTAAGAATCTGGTTAGATACCATATTTCTAAGATTTTCAGGGCCGAGTACAATAACCTCAGTTTGATCTGAATTAAGAAGCAGAAAGTTAGCAGCCATCCAGGTCTTTATGTCTTTAAGACATTCCTGCAGTTTAACTCATTGGTGTGTGTTATCTGGCTTCATGGACAGATGGTGTTCAGAGCCATTTTTAGATTGCTCTGGTAGTTCTGTGCTGCTCTCCTGCTCTGTGCATCGTATGATTTCACCACAGACTGCAACACTACACAAAGCAGACATCAGCTCTTCTTTCAAGCTCACCTAAACAGGTCGATCACGTTTAGGCTGGGTCTCAGTTTGCAGCAGTCTCCCAGCACAAAGCCAGAGCATCACTGTGAGCCATTTTTACCATCACATTGTACTCTCCATCCTGAGTGCAGCTGTGACTGACACGATTATGTGGCAACACTGAAAATGCAGGTTTTTGGCTCCCCGGCCTGTTCACACCATTTCAGCCTGATTCAGTCAGGAAGAGCACGAAGCGTCAAACACAATGAAACGTTTCCATTGCAACTGTTGTTGACAAATTCACTTCTTCAGTATGGATTATTAAACAAGGAGTGTTAGTCAAAATCACATTTTTAGTTACAAAGTTACAACATAATACGGTTTGTCCAGTGTCAGAGCAGTACTGTAACATCACATCACCAAGTCTAGACCTGCATCAGGAGTTCATCAGTCCCTCAGGGATAGCGAGTACAGTGTCACTATGATCACCTTCAGTTAAATGTAGAACAATCACTTTTACACTGTGCTTGAATCTGTGCTGATTTGCAGCAGCAGCCAATCACACAAATATCTGGTTTGGCTCTAACAGTATCAGGTGACAGCTTTGTGTTTACCTGTTGTACAGGTGGAACTGCATGGAGCATAAGCAGACACCTTCCAGCTATACAGGTCTCCCAGACTAATATGTGGCTCCACATCAAAGTTGTTGCTAGAAGGAAGCAGAAACACAGACAGGAGGCAGATTCATGAAACCCACCAATGTCACAATGACTTCACTGAACGTGTTACGTGTTAAAGCCCAGACCAGTCTGCACACATCTGAACCCAGTGTGGTGATGAGATGAAGGACTGTATGTGAAGCAGTTCTTGTTATGATTACAGTACAAATGCAGAATAAGCTCTGAGGATCATGAGATGCTTCATCGTACCTCTCCGTGTCGGCTGCCTGGACCTCTGACACCTGCTGCAGCTCTACCAGGATGGCGGTGTGAGGACCACTGACTGTTTCTGAGGTCACAGAGTCCATGACTGTGACAACGTCCCTGTGCATTTGTGAGCTTGTGTCTGTGTCTGCAGCAGCAACTGACTGCTGCTCAGTGGGTGTGTGTGTGGCTGAGTGAGTGTTTGTCTCCTCCAGCAGCAGGTGGGGAGCATCTTCTGCTGCAGGATGAACCCTCTGATCACCTGTGAACAACAAATGATTTTTAAAATTACTTTCAAGGTTAAGGTTTCATTTTTTATTTGCTAATCTTCATATTATTAGGTGTCTTTTTCATATAATCAAAGTCAAACTCTACAGTCCTGTTCTTGCGCTTTCCCTCACTTCTTTACAATTTGCTAGAAAAATGGGAAACGGCTACAGGGACAGCAAAAGACTGGGAAAGTTGGTGAACAGGTTAGTGGGAAACAGGTGTTTGTCATGAGCATCCCCAAACGGCTCAGTCGTTTTAAAGGATGGGGCGAGGTTCACCACTTTGTGAACATCTGTGTTGTGTTACACAACATCCCAACTTCACTGGAACTGTGGTTGTAGTATATTGGCCCAACACTGGTGCGTGAGTCCAGTGAGCTTTGGTGTGACCACAGGTCTTATCACACCCTGAACTCTGAAGTTTAAGCAGCCTTCAGGAGGAGTTCTCCAGGTTCCTTTATTGGCAGTAGAAGCATCTCTGTTCAGGATCATTGTCTGAAAAATGAAGCTGCTCCCAGTCACACACATAGCTGATCAACATCAGACTGTATTATTCCGCGTTCACACCCTGTATTGTCCAAAGTATTCACTCACCCACCCATACTTGTATAAAGCACTTTGAGTGCTCAGATAGAGTAGAAGAGCGCTATATATGAACCAGTCCATTTACCAAATATTCTTCCAAACCAACTTCCTTCCAAGCCAAAGACTAGAACATATTGATGAAGGATATCATGTTTTTGGCTTCACCTGCACAACAGCTGTCGTTCCAAGGCAGGTCTCCCCACCAGGATCTGTTTCCCTGCGTCGGGAGCAGTGCTGGGCTCTCCAAATCACGGACAAACAGGATCCCACATTCTTGATTTTTAGTTCACAAACACTTCTTAAAACGACTAACTACTCCTGAAACTTTGGAGGTTTTAGCTCTTTATACAGTAAAGTTACAGGAGGATAAAAATGTTTGTTAAAATAATCCTGTCTGTTACCACGTGAGAACAATAAATATAAATTTTCTGGTGTAACCCTCAAACTGAATGGTAATGTAACAACACTCGCTCCTTCCACGTCTAATATCTGTAACGGAGGCGGAATAACTGGATGCTCGCTCCGTGCCCAGTGAATGCTCGCCACGCAGGGGGAAGACGTTTGGTCAGTGACACGACACAGTTTGTTCCCCTGGTTCAAATCACGGACAAACAGTATCCCACAGTCGTTCATGTTTTAAACACTCTGCACAGACATTTTTTTGAAAAATGTTGAATATTATTACACAGTAAAAACCTAAAAAACAACACAAACAACTATACGTAAAATAAGATGGTTTGTTTTTCTTTTTTTAAAAGGAGGTAGTGGTTTATTTAATTGCAACCTGTAACCTTTTATTTCTTTCATTGTTTACAATTTATAAACTGCAGTGGAGTTTGAAACAAAATATGGGCGTGTGTGCACGTGTGTGTGTGGGCGGGGTTCTTGTAAGACAACGGGGGCCTAGCAAAGCAAGTTTGGGAACCACCGCCTTACTGTACACAAGGAAGATGTCTGAAGTGAAAACATTTGGGAAACAACTGGATTTGTCTTTTCTACCTGGGAAGGTGAGCATTAGCGTGTTGTCATCTTCAGCCGAGTGCTCGTTGGAAGAGTTGGAAGAGCTTTCTTAATGACCAGAGAAAAGAAAGACAGTGGCAGAAATCATGTGGTTAGAAAGCACCAATATCACGGAAGATTAAAGGATCACTAAAGCTGTTGTTGTCTCCTGATTGAACCTCTGGCACGACTCAGTCAGTCGAACATCTTTAATAATACAAGTAAGATGAATGAAACTTACTGTAGCCAGATGGTGCTGGAGGTCCCTGTTCCTCCACATCATTGTGACTAAACACACGAGTGATGACGTCAGCTGGTCTGTAGACCATAATGTCCACTGGTGCTGGTCTGGCGGTCTGGATCTCCCACACCACTTCCTCCTCTTCTTCCTGCAGCTGGACATCTGGGTGGTCGTGCAGGTCGTGATGGACAGATGCTGACCCTCTGCTGTGGTTCATCGAGATACTCTGATCCCCTCTGACATCCACGTTTACGTCATTATAGGTGAGGTTAAGATTGGAGTGGCGTGAGGCCGCGGCAGCTGCTTGAGACTTGAGTGGGATGGTATACTCATAGGTGATATGGGGGAGTTTCCCATTCAAGTTGTAGTACTGAAATGACACGCAGCCTTGTTACAGTCAAACTAACAAACACGTGTGTGTGTGTGTGTGTGTGTGTGTGTGTGT